ACAATTTGAGACAGGCCCATGGCTGCCATGGTAGCCATGAACTCCCGAGCCACCTCTGAGGCCCGTCCCAGGGACGGCAAGTTGAAGTCTTCCAGAACCATAAGCCTGGGGAACTCCACTGCCAGCCCCGAGATGGCCTTCAGCAGCTCAGGCAGGGAGGCTGCCACGCAGCAGGGAGGTCAGTACAGTAGCAGCACTCCCAACTGTTCGCGGGAACCCAACCTAAGAAACAGTGTCTCACAGCCATAAACTTGTGGAGCAATGCCCCTGAAGGCCATCAGAGACTCTTGGATGACAACAGCCACCCCTCCTCCCCTACCCTAGCATCTTGGCTGGTGCCACACCGTAAACCCAGCTGGGCACATTTCTGAGAGGTGCACCCCCCTCGGGCCCCATCCAGGTCCCCGTAATACATGCCAGGTCTGCCCCCTCCTCAGTGATCAAGCCACATACGAGGGGGGCCTTGTATAGTACAATATATAATAAAATATATAGTACAGAAGTAATCCCATGATAAGAGAAACAGATTTTAGTATAGTGCTTACCTTCATTGCTACCAATAATAGAATTGGTATTACTTGTATAGAAAATCAAATACCTTGATGGTTATTTGAGGGCTTAATTCAGTAAGAACTTTCACCTGTAAATTCCTACAAGATTTTATATTGTCAAAGATAAACAGCTTTTCTGCAAACTGCAGTTTTGTTAGACAGCGTATGGAGTCTGAAATAGGGATTGTTAGGATCCAGCTCTAAATCTCCTAAGGAAAATATATTGCTACTTAAAATAGTTTAAAGGCTGTAAAAAGGATGGAAGAATCTGGAACAGGGTATGGTAGTAGAGTATGGAAACACACGTTCAGAAGAACAACAGGATAGTCTTTGCCTTGTTGCTAATGCAAAATGAAAAGAATATTTCAATTAATTCATAGTGGAATTAGGGTAATTTATAAAAAAAAATCAATAGGAATTTAGTTACAAGCAACTTGTCAAAGTTGTGTGACTGAGGTGAAATATGAAGTGAAGGTTTGTCACACCCATTGCTGCTGAAAGAACTTGGGGAAGTAAAATAGTTGGCTGTAACAAGAATTGCCTCAGATTAGAATAAATGTCCATCTAGCTCTTCATTTTGTCTCCTATTAACCAACCAAAAACATAGTTGAAATTGCTATCTCCTGTTATTTGTAGGAATATAAGCTTTGTTTTAAAATCATCTGTGAAAGAGATTATGCAACCTGCATTTAAGGTGGGAATCCAATACCTAATTCTCTGGGATTTTTCTATTCAGAAATAGTGTATACATTACGTTTTCCTTGCATGACTGGCCACTTGCCTTTATTAAAAATAGTTTTTAATCAAAGAATGTAATCTGTAGTAGAACAGCTTCAGGAAACTTTTGAGGCTTTTGTAATTCAGAGAGCACATTGTAGATGGTCTCATCATGGAAGGGGAGATTTGTCGGTTTATAAAATAGTTATCATAGTGGGTAAGATTGGTCACAAGATACTCATTTACCAGAAAGAAAATGATAGAGATTCTTGTTAGCCTGCATCTCCCACCCCAAATGATTTCTACCGTTCCAACTTCTGTTTTTTCTGGACAAGGAATCACACTTCCACATAAAAGTACTGGGCTGTAACTACTCATTGTTTTATTTTTTTAAGAATTCCTCTGAGCTCTGCACAAGCCCCAACAGCATTATTCTAGATAAATATGATGCTAATGCTTTGTTTTATAGCACACTTGTCTGCCATTTACTAATTAATTGAAATCTTTAAGAAAATAGATTGAGGCGGATAGTCTGTTGAGCATTAGGAGAGCTGTCTGCGTGCATACTGATGTCCACAGGCATCATATTGTTTATCCCTGGTATAGGATATCCAGTGATGGTAGAAGTGAGGGAAAAAAGTTAGGACTGGTCTTCCTGTGAGCCATGTGGCTGAAGAGTAAATTGAGAGGGCTGGTATATGTAAAGCAGCCTACCTCAAGCTAAGAGGCTTTCAGATGACTGGATTGCAACTATCAACTTTAAACATTCTCAGCAGTAACCATGCTGGTTGGAGAATCCTGGAAACTGAAATTCACATACAGTTCAACACTCATGCTGAGTAAGCTTGCTTTAAAGTAAGGCTTAAACATGCTTCCTATTGTTGCGGTATAGCAATGGTGGCATAAAAATCTCTAGTGAGGTAGGACCCTTTAGAACATTGTATTTGATAAATAAGATGATAGCAAGTCTAAGAAAAGCTTTAGCTTCATATCTGAAGGAGCTAGTGCCAGTCAAAGTAGATCTAGTATTTGGGTAAGTGATCATTCCTCTGATACAGTATAGTGTTGTTGTTATTACTAGATGTTTATCCCATCTTTTTTATATATAACTCAAGGTGGCAGACATACCTAATACTCCTGCCTTCTATTTTTCCCACAACAACACTGTGAGTTAGGTTGGGCTGAGAGAGAGAATTTGGCCCAAAGTCACCCAGCCGGCTTTCATGCCTGAAGGAGGCCTGGAACTCACAGTCTCTTGGTTTCTAGGCCAGCACCTTAACTACTGCACCAGTTATATTGTTAGCACCAGAAACAGCTATCACATTTCTAAGTTGCTTTATTCTTTAATTTTTCTGGCTACATTTTCTGTATTGGGAAAAGTAAAGCTGCCTGTAAACTCATTGTAAGTGGTAGTGTAAGGTTTAGAGGCTCTTGTTACAAAATCAGTTTTCCAGTCCTTGCAGCAATAACCTTGCTCATTGAAATAAAAAGTATGTAGTCCTGTTATTATTAATAAGAGAAAATATAAGATCCATAAGAATCCTCTGTCCCATTACCTGCATGATGTGCTACAATTCTAGTTCGAGTGAATAAGAGGCAATACAATAGGGAGTGAACAAATGGAATAAGGGTGTGGGTATAGGAAGAAGTAATTTTAAAGTTGTCTTTCCTATTTAGTTTCTTGCTCCATATTGAAAAGTTTTCAATATATGAATTTTGGAGGAACTTAAAGTTTATTGCTACCCACAATTAACAAAAGACAAGTCTTCTGATTGTACTTGTATATTGGAAACATGGGAATTTGTGGAAGTTTCAGAACAGAACTTGTTTTTGTATGATGATCACTTACATACCTGTACAGACTGAATAATACTGAAGGTAAAGCTGAAAATATTCAACTGATTGTGAATTATGTAGAAATGCTCACAGAACTACAAGCTGCCTTGTAATATGCTTGTTAGTTTATGATTAAAAGGCTTTTCTCCTTGCTTTCCAAAGAGAAGGCTTTATTTGATAGCTACATATTTAATTTAGCATTATTAATTTTTTTCCTTCATAAAATAAATCTGTTAGAATGAGCAAAAACAAAGATGCCTTTGCCTGTTTCCCTACCCCATAGGACAATGTTCTTTTTTAGTTCAGGACATTAATAATTCATGAGAGACACTGGATAAAACTGAACAATGGGATGTGAAGCTTAATTATTTTTTCTTGTGGTAGTGATGTGATCTTATCCAACTTCATTTCTTATTTTATATTCTAGCAAATTCATCCATTAAGCATTTACTATATCCTGATTGTTTTTTCACCCCTTTAGTAAATTTTGAAAGGGCAATTGACTCTGTGTACTATTCTGTATAATAATTAATTTCTGCAACCTCGAGTTAAATGCCTGGGTTGAACTGAGGAAGTCATTGCTGAATCTCATCTGTCTTGCTTGAAACCAAAGATTTTTTAAAAATATTTTCAGTAACAAAATGAATCTAAACTTAGTCTTCTCTTCTCTTCTCTTCTCTTCTCTTCTCTTCTCTTCTCTTCTCTTCTCTTCTCTTCTCTTCTCTTCTCTTCTCTTCTCTTTAATTTTTCTCATAAATGGAAAGCAATAAAATATGCTGATGGCTTTTCTGTAGCCTGTCATGTTGTCTTTTCTCATCTTTCATCTGCTTTGTACAGATGTCTTCCTCTGATGCTGCTCAGCCTCAAACATCTTCTCCTTCTCTGCAAGCTGCTTCTGAGCAAAGCAAAATGGAGGTATTCCCTCTTCTTGGTGTTTATGGTGTGTTTGGGTGCAGATGTGTTCTACTTTTGTTCTGAATGGGTGCACACATCACGCTAAATTACAGACAATGCTTGTTTGTGGCTTACCATGTGTGAACTCAGCTGTTGTTCATTGTGGTATGTGTAACTAATGGCTTAGCACAATATGAATTCAGCTGATATGGAGTTATTTTCTGACCTAGAATCGTAATTTGTCTTCAGACTTTTAATCTTAAGTATTTTAAGCCAAATCATAAACATGATTATATTGCATTTCATAAGTTCATCCAAAGAGAATTTCTGTCTGGACTTTCACAGCTCAGTTTGAGGTATTTCACAATAGCATACAAGTCTGTCTTAGATTTGTAGCTTAAATTGTATCTTAGATTTCCTCAAAATAAATACTTCTATGCAGATAGTGGGTTCTGAGCAGAATTGCCTACTCATTGACTTAATTTTAAAAATAAATTATTTTATTAGTTAATATGCATTCCTCATTTTCAGTAGACTGTACATTCATTTACTAATCCTCCATCCTAAACATGTTTTCTTTGAAGTAAGCTCCTTTAATTTTCATGATACCTATTTCCAATTATTTGATTTTGGGTTTCTGTTTTAGTATAAGTATCCACATAATAACATTACCTATTGCAAATGATTTCCAAAATGAGAACCAGCTTCAATATCTTGGTCTCCCTCTTTATTGCTTTGTTAGTCTTGAACATGGTTTAAAAATTACATCCACTGGGGCTTGCAGTATAGAACTTGAATTGGAATTGTAGGCTTTTAGTCATTTGTTTGCTTGCTTTTTTGTTTGTTTAGAGTATTTGTAGGCCACCAACTCCTTTAAGGCTCAGGGGGACTTACAGAAAGAAACAAAATGATTGAAGTCTAATCCCTCATCAGACTAACCACATAATCAGATGCAGCATTAAATTTGTTATTATTTAACCATTTTCTGAATCATATTTGTGCTTGTTAAGTCATTCAGTGCAATGTGCAGCTTTTAAAAATGCAATAATAAAATAACAGCACAGTAGAATAAAGGGAAAAGTAAAACAAAACAATAGGATAGCAAATATTAAAATAGCTAGAATTGGGGAGGTGCCCCCAAACGGGTTCTACCGTGCTACCCAACCTGTCCTTTTTAAATCATGAAGCATAGGATGAATCTCTGATGAAAATGTAGATTCTGAGCTTACTCCTAAAGGAAGAAGAGGCCTTGCATATACTCCATTAGAATTATGTGTTCATTGATTTAGAAGCATTTATTGATCAATATTAACATTTTGAATTGGGCTTGGAAACAAATTGGAAGCCAGTACAGTTGATTCAAAATCAGTGATATGGTGATTCTAAAGTACTTGTCAGGTAAGTATGTGGCTACCAGTAGATGAAGTTTTTGAAAGTGGCATCCTGTATAGAACATGTTATAATAAGCTGAATGACATGGATCCCAATCACCAAATCACGGGTAGTATGTATTATCAGCATAGTAATGAAACCTAATCTCAGTGCTCCAAGTGGTCTTCTGGTGATATCTTATAGAAGTTAAATAGCATGGAGCACAGTATACAGCCCATTAGAAATCTCATGGTGTAATGTCCTCAGGACTGAGCAGTAATTCCCACACCATCTCTGGGAATTTTCAGCTAAATAAAATCTAAACTATTAACTGCGCTATCGAATCCCTATTATCCAAAACAACTCAGAATAAAATGATCTATGATGTCTGCAAGGTCCCATAAAACCGATAGCAATGGGAAAAGGTGACTGATGAGACTATGGGGAAAGCTGGTGGAAAATAGAAAAGAGACATAAACATTCAATTTTCTAGTCTTTCTGCTGTATATTAAGGGAAGTATATTTAATATACTAGATATTTGAAGGGCCTGCAGATACAATATATGGTTGGGACAGCCTTGTATATAACTGTAAGATATATAGTACATATACATACACATATACACATACATATGAAGATTGAAGTTCTGATGAGAATAAATGTCTTTCTGAAATAATAGTTTAAATTAACTTTTAGAAGACAATATAATTGATATTTTAAAGATTCATTACATGCAATATAATAATGTTTAATGGAACATCTTTCCACAGAAGGAAAAAGAAAAGAAGAAGGAAGAGAAAAAAAGGGACAGAGAACCAGAAAAACCTTTGAAAAGCTTAGGAATGGAAAAAGTAAGATTGGTTTTCTTAGTTGTATATTTTAAGGCTATATTATTCATAATTAAAAGTACATAGTGCTTTCAAATTCAATGCAATCTTTTTATTTCATTCTTTGACCATCATAATTTCTAGTCTTTTGGCTAAAATAACTTTTCAGCCTTTTAGTTAAGAGCAAGTGTAGTTTCAAAATCATGAAATCTGAGTATTTTAAATAATTGTGCTTTAAAATATGAATTGTTTAACTTCTGAAAGGGAAACTTCCAGGAAATGCCTGGGTTGTAGACTACACTGGAAGGAAAGTATGGGGGAAAATGGAAAATTGCAAATAAATGACATGGGCTTGTCCATATACGTATATAGTCATCAGGAGCTCAGTTTGAGGGAGACTATATTTTCTCTAATAGCATGAATTGCATGGACATTGCAGCTGGAAATATTAATAATGTAAAAAGTGTGTGATGGTTCCTCTAGAAAATGCATCACAAGGAAAACAATAACAGTTTCATTATTTTAGTCTGAGTAGGGCATTAGATGTCTTCTTGCAGCTTTCTTTTTGTACTAATAATAGCTGATGATTTATCTGGAAAGGAGTAGTTGTGCTTTTTTAATTAGAGGGATCTTCACTTGAGTAACACAACAATATTGAGAGTTCTAAATTTGTTTTCTATCACGACCTGTACAGTCAGCTGTTGTCAATTTTTAAAAAAATTTACTTGTGAGCAGTGGTTTATTATGAGGGCAAGGACATAGAGAAGAGAAGAAAACCATTCTGTTTTGTATGACTTCTACTTTTGCTAATAAAGGTGGACAAATTATATGAAATCAGTATTCCCCCCGTCCCTCCTTGTCTGAACACCCTGTTTCAGTTTGTCATGTTTTTATTTCCTTGCCCTTATCTTATAGTTTGCAGCATTCTTCCCAAAGGTTTTACAAGATTTTTAATTCAGCCCTTCCACTTTGCTCATAGTAGTATATAGTTTTGATGGTAATGCTGAAACAAGTAAAGCAGCATAAATAAAATACAGGTAGTCCTTGCTTACCAACCATTTGTCCAGCGACTGTTCAAAGTTACAGTGGCACTGAAAAAGGAGACTTAAAACTGGTCCTCAAAGTTCCAGCTGTCACAGCAACCCCACAGTCACGTGATCACGATCTGGGCGCTTGGCAACCAACTCACACTTACGACAGTTGCAGTGTCCTGCGGTCACGTGATCGTCATTTGTGACCTTCCTGCTGGCTTCCTACAAGCAGAGCCAATCGGGAAGCTGGGAGGAAAGGTTGCAAGTTGCTCCAGTAAATTGCTCATACCATCCCCACCCAGCAGCAGGGGATGGGGATGCTGCTTGCGCCGTGCCTCATGGGCCACTTGCACATCCTCCCCTGCCTGGCAGCAGCCAGCCCTACCACGCTCATACTGCACCTTACCTACCTGCTGGCCTGCTTGCAAGCCACCTGGGACTCGTTTAACATCCCGCAATGCTCACTTAACAATGTCAGTGGGGAGTGCTGGGATTGCTGTCACTAAGCGCAGCAGTGGACGTGATGTTGCACTTTATGATCGCATTGCTTGGCGATGGAAAATCCAGTCCCAAATACCGTAGTTAACCAAGGACTACCTGTTTATATTTGATTTTCATGCTTCTAGCATAGTAGAATAAAACTGGAACAAGTAATTCTCTTCCTATTTGTGGCTATCTTCCTGTTTACAGCTTTCTGGAAGAATTTTAAAAATTCATTATTGGTCTTTCCCACATTTTGGAAATATTGGAGGCTCACCCAAGCCAATCAAAAAAAGGCAGTAGATTGCCATACTACATTCAAGTGAAGAAATAATAAGAGACATATCTTGCCTTACATCTATGTTGTTCCTCCTTTCTCTAAATTCAGAGCTGAATAATTGAATTGGCATCAGTTCCTTCAGTCAGTCAGTCATGTTGCATGCTTTCTTGAATCTCCTTCAGTAACATAAATTGCTAGGATAGCGAAAGGTTTGTGTTCTGTTGCCAATGATCTCACAAGGAGAGGCAGGATTGGAAAACCTGGAGCAAAATAGAGGCAAAGGGTAAAAGAAGAGGCAAGCTGAGTGGTGAGGGGGCAAGTGCAAGGATGGTGTGAAAGATGAAAAAAGAAAAATAATGGAAATTGAATTCAGTTTTCTTTATTTACAAGTTTATTTAAGATGTTTTGATCCTTTCTGCCTTGTGACTGGAGCATGCTTCTGCCATGTGCTTTTGACTTTTCACATCAACAGTTTAACCACGCTATTGTAATACTGATACTGACAATGGCTTGCAGGTTTCCAGATTAGAAGAGGGGAGTTGACAACGACTTTATTTTGTGTCTTCCTATAAGGTGATGCTCATATCGTTGCCCACCTGACATCTTGAAGATTCTGTGTTTAGAAAGGTCAATTACCATCTCTGGATAGACAAATGAGCACTTTGCCTTGCAAGGATTCAACTTGTTTCATCTCATACAGACCCTTATAATCCCCAAACATCAGGAAGGACCTTCACAGTATGTCCTATTCAACTCTGGGTGGAGAGACATAACTGGCTATCATCAGCATATTGATGATACCTCACCCTGAACAATTGAATGACTTTCCCCAGTGGCTTCATATAACATGGGGGAAAGGATCAAGCTCTACAGCATCCCATATTAAGCAGGGCACTGGTCCAGTGTTCAACCCTCACAATATCCAAGGAAGAGCAGAACCACTGTAAACTCTGCCCAACTCCCAACCCTTGTAGAAGGCCCAGAAAGATACCATGGTCAATGGGAGCAAAAGCAGTTGAGAAATCTTAAGAGGAAAAGGAGAGCCAAACTTCCACCATCAAGTCACAATAACAGTCATCCACAAGAATGACAGTGCCAATTCTGTGCCATACCCTGGTCTGAATCCTGACTGAAAAGGCTTCAGATAATCACCTTCATCTGTGATCCTTTGCAGCTGAAGCATCACCACATTCTCCAAAATTTCACCCAAAAAGGGAAGGTTGGAGTCTGAACAGAAATTATTTAACACTGTGGGGTTGAGAGATGGCCTCTACCAGACTTTCTCTCGAGGTATTTAGGGGAAATCCTCATTTCCCACTGAAGGAGCCAGGAGGGGGCAAAAATTCAGCCTACGGGTGGCAGGACCTATCTAATAGAACTGAAAAAAAACCAGGAAATATTGCAAGATGTTGCCGCAGTTACCTCCTCTGGGTCAGCCAACACTGTTTTCAATTCTGAGAGAATGTGAATGACTTTCTAAACAAAGTGTCCTATAAATCTCTCAGGGCAGCCTGAAGGAAGATCTATTGACCCACCCTGCCTCAGTGGAATGCAGGCCACCTTAAACAAGGCTACAGGATAGTATTTCAATGATACAATAAGGGGAGAGAAATATTGACATTTTTCAATACTTATTGCAACAGAGTAGGCCTGAACATGAGTTTGTAGCAATACTCAACTCAATGTATTCTGTTTCCCACACAAGTACTTCAGGCATGTTTTCTGCCGCTTCATCTCCTAGAGCTTCTTAATAAATCAAGGGTCCCTCTGGGATCTGAAAATAGGCATAGGTGCAGTCTTATTCCATATCTTAGAAGCTAGCCAGAATCATGGAAGAGCAGCCTATCATATTGCCAAGTGCTTGTTGAAATCTAAGCAAATCCATATGGTGTCTGGGACAGATCATCTTAAATTGATTAATCATCCTGAAGGAGTCAGTTGTGGTAACTAGGCTCAGGCTAGTTCTTTGGAACAAGTTTCAACCAAAAGATGCAGGCTTGCATTGCAATGCTATTGCTACCATCTTATCTATTTTGATCCACCTGTTGCCCCAGATGCTCTTAAAGTCTTTCCAGAGACACTGCGTGCCACTATCTTCCTCCTTACTTTTAATATTCTCCATTGCTTTTCTTATCCTTCTTTCTTCACCTCCATCACATTCTTCTTTCCATACCCCACTCTTTTCTGTGTATTCTCTCTCTTTTTCACCATCTCCACTTTCTTCACATTTATAATTATCCATCCAGTTTCCTTCCGTGAAGGACTCCTGGCCTCTGTCCTAAACTAAACTAACTAAAGCATACCTGACTTCTATATTTTCTATTCCTAACCATGAAGATTGGTAAATAGTCCAGAACTGGTCAAAACATGGGGGAGTGGGGCAGCCACTCTGGTCTAAACAGCAGGAATCTGAGAGGAGGAGGAACCCAATTCTGTAAACATTTTACCTCAGTAACTTACATCTCTTTAAATCTGATACACATATACCGTATTTTTCCATCAATAAGACGCCCCCATGTACAAGACGACCCCCACTTTTCCAACCCAAAATTAAGAAATTAATATTT